GTTACTGATTTTTATATGTATACATATTTTTTTTATAATAAGCTAAAAGCTTTCATCATATTAATTATTAATACCAAAGTAGTTGTATATCAGTATATTACTAACAAACAATTTAAAATGGAGTGTTTAGATAAAAAAAAATATTATTACAATTATCATTAAAAATATTTCAACTTATTACCAAAATTGTACGCAAACGTCTAACCTAACGTTAATTATCGTAGAATTTTGGGGCATACCTACAGAGGCCTCACGGCACACCAATATGCCGCGGCACATCGGTTGGGGAAGACTGATGTAGAAGTGTTAACAATTATGACAGAAAAATTAACACAATGTTTAAATTTAAAAATTAACTTTTTTACTTAGCAGTTGAAGTAAAAACTTTGAAATTAACACTAAGCAAAGATAAAAATCATTAAGTCAACAGAAATATCTATGTCAAACCCACAGATATATACAACTAGATAGCCGTCTTTATATTATAATTTACAGTTGTAATCGATGTTGAAGTCGGTGCCATTTTTAAAGCAGGCAATGTTTACATTTATTCATTTCATAAGTATATTTACTTATGTAACCATCAACTATCAAGGACTAGATATAAAGGTATATCTTAGTCCGTGGTATACATATTGACTGTGATAATATTGTTACCTAGTTGTTGCATATATCTATGGTCAAAACCTATAACTAAAATAAATCTTTCAGTATCTCCATTATCTCTCTATTAAATACTTAAATGATCATATAAAATCAACCTAAATTATTATTTTCAAAGTTTAGATATATTACATTTCAAAGATACAAAATAATGACAGTAATATATTTAAAATGTAATAAATAATCTCAGCTGTATACTTATACATTCCATTAACTCTCATAATAGAGAGTATGATTTTTTTTATTTTTATAAATATAAAACTATGTATTTACTCTATTTTAGAATATTATACATAGTATTTATTTTCAATCAGTTGTTTGTATTCATAGCTTTGGTCATATACAATTTAGCCAAAGATTGAGTAGAAAATTTAGCTATTTCTTCAGCATATGCATCAACTTGAGTAGCCATTAACATGGGTGGTAACCTAGGCGGTACTGGTAATGCTCTAAATATCTTGGTAATGTCTTCTTCGGGTAATGGTGGCTCATCTTTCGCTGCTCGTGCTTGATTTTCTAAAGCCTTTTTGAAATAAAAAAAATATTTAGATCATAATTTACATTGATCCCACATAAATATTAAAAATATTACTCGTTTCTGTAAGTAACGGTGTTTATCTGTAGATTGGCGGACAACTGCTTGCTGATAGCGATTGAATTTGATGGCTTCTTGATTTAGATCATCCACTCGGTCCATTAAATGACGTAATTGCCCTTCCAAAACAGTACTACAATAATATAATAATGTAATTTATGTAAACTCATACAATTTATTGAAATATTAAATCGTATTATATTATTTACGCGGTGCCAATATCCAAATGTTCAGAGCCTTCTTCAACTTTAATTTTAAAACTTAGTTCTGACAGAAGTATGTTAGTCAATGTTGAATTTTTTATAACAACTGGAACTTTTACTAATAAATGATCATAACCAACTTTTAATGATTTCAATGTATCCGGCAAAAAATCATTTTCTTTAAACATGGTTAAGGCCTGAGGTGTGAGACGGTAAGCACTCAAAGACAAAAATCCACGATTAGTTTTGGGAGCATCTGAAACAAAAATAATTTATTAATTATTAATATACCTCAATATTAAATTGAGATAGGTACAGAGTACAGACATTATCCCAAAAAATGTCTATTTTAACAGTTCTGATATTTTCTATGGAGAAAGCACACATATGTTAAGTATTTAAAATGATCACCTCCATATTAATAATAATACCCAGTAAAAAAAAATTAAAGGAGAATGAAATTGTCGGTCCACGTTTAAAAATTAAACAAAATTAGGTACTAAAATGTTGGGTACTTCCGCGTTTTCTTGACTACCTTGAGTGCACAACGGTGTTAACTCGCCTACTTTATAAAAAAAATACAATTTAATCGTATTATATTGTTAATGTTTAACTAATATTTTAAGCTAAATATAATGTATTTATATAGGTTAATTAGATTAGGTAAATATTATGTATACTTTTAATAAAACAACTTATAATTTCAAGTAAAATTAAATGATTACGTAAAAAATAATAAGTTGGGTAATAATAGGTTAATGTTTTTTTTTGCTGAGGAAAGTAGTTTTTAAGATCCATTAGAATCATAACAAATAGTTGTAATGATTCAGTGTTATAAGCAAGCCAACAAGCTGAATAGATCGTGGTAATTCTCTGAATATAATTTTTTATCGTCGTAAGCAGAGCTCCTGTTTTTCTATCAGGCACAAATTGTACATAAAAAACAAAATTAAATTGTATATTACATGATGGTAAAGATTAAAACTTGGGAATATACATTTATAAATAGATTCTAAAGCGGAGATAGTCGAGACAACCAATATTCTAACAGGTAGTCTCGGAAAATATTTGGATTATCGAGATAAAACTGATGATCATAATGGGTAGTCTTGGAAATATTTGAGTACCAAATGATGTAAAAAAAACTTTTCAAAAATTTGATGAAAAAATTACTAACAAGTTTAAATACTAGAAACTGAACACAAACATTAAAGTAATCATTAAAATTTCACAATTATATTAGTGAAATGCTTGTGAAAAAAGGCGACAATAAAACACAGTAAATTCTTATAATTCAATATTTTGAACTCTTATAATTTGATATGCTTACTAGTTTTTAGTACCGACCAATAACACTTACCAAAAATTAAGACGACAGATTCTTCTATGCTAGTCTGGTAATGAAATTGCGATTCCAACAATGGCAAACTCAAAAAATTTCCAACATCAGAACTTTGATACCACCCAACGTGATAATGATCAACATTAACTTGACGAAGACTTTTCATCATGTCTAATTGATATTTTTCTATAAAATAAACAAAAATAAAGGTTTTTTTTTATCAAGACCGGTACTATCAAATCTATTACATTTTTTCCATAGCTTAGGACATATTCATAAAAATTATAATTATAAAAGAAATAATGGATCTGCAAAAATATCAATTTAAAAAAGTATGTACCATTATAAACTTTGTGGACATTTTTAACTGAAAGTTTCATATTTATATTTTGTCTATCACTTATTTAATTGTATATGTTAAGCATTGAGGCGGATGTTTGAAGAAATAATAAAGCACAACAGTTAGGATCATGGTAGAGGAAAAAAAACGAAGTTAATTTATTCCTCACAATTTAATAAATATTTGAATGTATGGTACTTGTTAGTACATTTTGGGTTTAAATATAAAATATTATTTAAATTAAAATTAGGTGAAATATTTTATTGAAGGATAAATTACGTTATTCAAAACTTAAATGAAACCAAATTGTTTGATCTTGTGTCACAATAGATCCAGTAGGAACAAATATGATTAGGGTACCTACACACTAACATTTAATTAAAAAAGAAATTAAAAACTTTTTAGACTACAATGGACTTATAGCACAATTACTACGCATATATATATATAGTGTCATTAAATGACAATAGTCTTGAATCTGTACTATGGGTACTAATTTCAATAAGTATTCTTATCACGAATAACATGTCAAGTAACTGACCATCATTGATGGATTCGTCGACACTCTTCGGGAAGGCGAAACAATTTGTGATCTCGAGACGGTCTTCGACGACCAGACCCAAAAGTGCTCCTTGAGCGATGATCACGTCACTGGCACACTCTTCATGGCAGTGCTTCGCAATTTTCATCAATGCCTGCAGTAAACATTTTATAGGCGACACAGGTCGCCGTTTGGGAGTATTAATAATAATGTTTTAAAATAATCAAAATCTATTTTGGCATTGGGCACGCATTTAATACTCACCAGTCCTTCGACTTGCACGTATTTGACGGCTGAATATGATTCTTTGCCTTTCGGATCGATTCGTCTGGACGCCATTGTGTATGCTTAAAGATTGAATGCCACAAACTGATTTTAAACCAAATGAAACACTAAAGAATACGCGAGAAGATGAAAGTTAAGTATATCAAAATTTGATAATGTCACGTTATTGCGAATGGCGACAATCGGGCAAAATAATTATTAATTAATAGAGTAAGCCGTGCCGATACTCGGTGCTTACGGAATTGGTGGGGAATGGTGAGATTCGGTGATCGGAACCTGGCAGTCGGCGACGCGTGATTTTTCTACAGTTTGAAGTTGGCAACGGCGGTCGGCGAATTAATCCAAACCAAGTTTCCAGTGGTTCTCAACGTTCTTGCGTCAAGCTCACGCACGATTTAAGATACTACTATCTTAAATAGTGCGTTCACGTTCGTAATTTTTTTATTATTACAGTAATGTGGTAGCGAATTCGTGTAGATTAGCTACTACAGAAGTACAAAGCGTATAGCAAGGTAATTATAATATTATAATTACCTTGGTGTATTGTAGGAAACTAGGAACAAAACTATCCTCATCATTGCTAGATGATTCGCTAATTGTACAATCATGACCCGTGGTGCTTATTAGTCCCTATGTCAGAATACTCAGACTTACAAACGAAATATTCTCTTTTTGTTTGTGATTGTTGGGTTGAGCGTTTAAGTTTGAATCTGTACGAACTTACGTCAGCGAGTCCCAATCAAATAAACTGAGTTCATGCTTTAATACAGGATCCATTTGAACTTAAAAAAAACCATCTTTCTTCCCATTTTTACAGACTTAGAACTCTGTAACTAAAAATGTACAGGTAGGTATGACAGTTTTAAAGAAATATATTTTTATATAGGTGTGTATAAGTGAGGCGTGGTTAGAAATTAGTCTTTTTTTTTGTCGTCAGTCATCACTTTATGTAGCAGTGAAAATGCTTGGATTTTTAACTTCATTATCTTCTCTGATAGGAAAATGAGGGTGCTTGGTACTTTTTTTTGGGGGGGGGGGGGCGTCAAAAGTAAAATTTCCTAGTATTTGTTTTCATTATTGGAAAAACCAGGAAATATCTTAACAATAATAGTGAAAACCCCTTGGTTGACAAACAATTTTTTTTACCTTTAACCTAAAAATTATAAAGACAGGACACACATGACAAAGTAGATGGGATTGTCATGGGGACACAGAAAATTGAAAAATTTTATACTGGAAAATTTAAACAGCATTGGTTTGTACAGATCCATCACCTCCCTGCATACTAACAAATATTTCAACATTTATAGTAACTAGTTGGTACTAACTATAAAAATAGTAACTATAGATTAACTATTAACTTACTATGTCTAACTACAATAGATTAAGATACATTTTATCTTAGTCTGTGCCATGGCTAAATAAATATATTAAGCCATGCCAAAATCTGTGTAATACGCATGTGTAATTGAAATATCTGTATTCTGTGGTGGGTATGTGTTTGATGCTACTGTAAGGTATCAATAAGAAACAATGAATAACATAAACGACTTCACAAAAAAAAATTTGACATTTTTAAAAATCATAATATATTGTTCAAAAGCTTAGTAGAGTAACTATAATAGGTGTATGATATTGCAACCAAACTTTTAAAACTAGTAAATTGATTATAATGTGATGTAAAAGTGAATGCTAGAAATTGTTTGAAATATAAAAACCATATAGATACATATTTCTTAAGGAATACTTTATAACTTATTCTTTAACATTTTTTGTTTAAAATAATTAGCAATAGAATTTTGAAAATCATCTGAATTGAATCTTTCTAGCAGTCTTTCAATCTCTCTATCATTAGCTTTGTGCAGTTCATCTTTAGTGATCACACCATTTAGCATCATTGATTTTGTGTACACCATAGGCTGTAAAGTTCATTGAAATTAAAACAATTTAAATAACTCAATAATATGACAGTTGAAAGACATAATTGTTGAAAAAGAGAATGAGAACATTTATTACCGATTTATACAAAGCTACTTCAGTTGTGATTTTTTTAACTAACTCATTTCTTCCACTAACTCCGTCATTGATAATTTCATTGACTAAGCCAATCTTCTGGGCATCAATAGCATTTAATGTCTTACCAGAGTACAAAAATTCATTGGCCTAAATTAGTAAACATATGTAAGTAGTATTCAATAGGGTTAATGAATAAGTTTTTTATAGGGAAATACGTATGAGGATTTAGGGTTTTTCAAATTCTAGTGGCTTGATAACCTGATTATCACAATTATAGTTTACCACTAGACAAACATACTATAAGGGGATATGAAATTAAATATTTTGAAAATAGGAATGCAAATGGAAAAAACTGGCATCAATGAAATGCCTTTAACTTTGTAGAATACACATATTATCATGTTTGTGCACAGCACATCACTTATTCTGCAGTACCACACAATGAATATGTAGACGAAATATTTTTTATTTAATAAGTAGGGGTCGGTTTAATTTGCTGAACTATAATTAATGATTAAATGACTACAAGTTTTTAATTCATAAAATCTTTTGGTAAACAATGGAAATATGGACCGTAATAAATGTGTAAGTGCGGTATTATTATTGTTATACAATGTTGAATAATATGTCGTAATATATCAAATAATAATATATACTCAACGGCGTAATATATTGTATGGATGCTTGTAATTTTACTGACCTATTGATTTAAAGGTAGGCTGAATACTATAGCACAGCCAAATTTAAAAACAGATTATTATTTACCCTAGTTTTTCCCATAATTAATGGAAATGTAATGCTTGAACATCCTTCAGCAGTAATACCCAATCTGTGAAAAGGACATGAAAATGTCGCCTAAAATTGAACAATGTTTTGTAAAAATTTAACACTAACTATATTATTTACTTACTGTTTTAGTTGCATAAACAAGATCACACAGTCCTAACGTAGTACATGCAATTCCAATTGCTGGACCATTGACCAATGCAACTAACAACTTCGGATAATCAATGAACGCTCTTACAAAGTTTCTGTTGATGTAACCACATATTTTAATAATTATTATTAAAAAAATATATGATCACCTAATATTTATTTACCGTGTTGCATTTAAACGATCTTCTATATCTATAACATTACTATCAAATAAGTCTGTACCACTACTATAGGCTTTTCCTATACCAGTTAATATGGTAAGAAAAACAGAATCATTTTTAGCCCCTTCTGCGAGAGCTCTGGTCACTTCATTGTAGCACTGTATATTTTTACAAAGTTAATATTTAAATAAGTTATGTAAGTTTTAGGTAACATAAATAAAATATTAGGTTTTAAGCATAATTACCTGAAATGATATGGCATTTAGTTTATTTGGACGATTAAATGAAATGATCTGAACTGATCCATCGTAATTTACTAATATTGTAGACATCCTGACTAATTGAAAACTAGCACTCTTCAGCTTTTACAAATGTCCAGTAAAATCAATAAAATAAATGAGTTTGTTAATTGTTCGTATAATAATACAACTTTTGGAATAGATTTGTAATATATTATGTTATAGCCTACTACATTCTATAAATCTACTCATGAATATGTTATGTCTTAACTAACACAAATAAAAAAAATTTAATACAATTACCTATCTACTACAAAATTATTTTTATTGGAATATCGTAGCACATACCTACTTGATTATACCATATTATACATAGGCTGGGTAAAATATGAGTTTAATCAACAGCAATTTTATTTACTGATATTTTTACCTTATACAGTTTACTTTCACCATCATCAACTACCTTGAACTTGGGCACTTCAATGACAAAGACTAATGATAGTACATAATATATTCATTATTCACCAACCACTAGTAGTTCCCAACATGAGAATGTGAGAGTATGAGACCTGTGGGCTGTGACTAATAATATTATACTGCAGATTGTAGAAAAGGACAAAAGGTATATTTAGGTATTATTTTTTATAGATAAAATGTCATCGAACATCGAACTACATTTTTCTTATCAGTTTTTTTTTAAAATTCATAGGTACAAATTATAACGACAGTAATTTAATCTATTCTGTGGTAATACTGATATTGGAAAGAATTCTAAGTTTTTCTATGGGTGTAACAATGTGACCAAATATTCTAAATACTTAGTTTACAGTAATTGTTGTAACACTCGGGATTGTGATGGGTAAAATAAAATATAAATTCGAGTCGAGTTCCCGGAGAGCACATTTTGTTGATGAGAACACACTAGAACTAGGTGCCAAGTGGCATAAGCGCATGCGCGACTTACTCGACAACCATAAGTAATAACTAATTACCATAGACATATTAACTAATATAGTTAATATGTCTATGCTAATTGCTAATTATTACAATGCACATACATTTGAAGTGAATACTGAATACTGAATAGTGATGCTCATGATAACATATTATATTTAGATGCTGACTGCTACGGAAGCGTTGTAGGACCAATCATATGTTTTTTTTATCAATCCTACTATTTTTATTTTTTATAGTATTGCTATGTACTACAGTGTAAATTATAAATAACTGTTTGGTTTTTTCCATGTTCGAAGTCTTTTCCGAGTTCCGACTAAAGCTATTGCCTAGAATCTGAACCGAGTTAATAGGTCTATGAATCTGAATAAATTATTCTCTTAGCGTAAAATTATAATATACATAATTTACAGTCGTGAAATGTGAATACCACGTGTCTGATACCCTTTAACAGAGATGGTGAACCTATGACAGGTGTATCACTCTGTGACACTCGCATAATCATCAAGTGACACACGGAACTATTGTTAAAAAAAATTAGAAGTTTCTTGTAAAGATGTAAAAAATGAAAGATTCAAATATTTTTCTTATTTGAAAATTCAGTTAATGAGTTTTCTTATTTTTTATAATAATAATTAATAATACATACAAAATACATAAAAATATTAGAAAATGCATCCGAAATCAGAATTGTTTTCAAGCAAATTTTCTCGATTTGCCGCCTAGAATTAAATTTGGAATTTTTAAGAAATCCTCATATAATTAAATTTGACAAACTTAAACTTAGTTTTTTTGAGCAGTTAAACATTGAAAATTTAGAAATGGAGGTAGTAGAATTTCAGAAAAGTAATATTTGGAGAAATAAATTTATTCATTTGAATAATGAGCTGGAAAATAATAATTGTTAAAATGTAATTCTTATTGAACGGAAAGTCATCAAAATTAATTTGCTTCAAAGGAAAAACTAACAATTTCATTATTGACAATGTATGGATCGACTTATGTGTGCGAGCAGCTATTTTATTCAATGAATTAAATTAAGTCGACTGTAAGTAATCGTCTTGGAACAGATTTAAGTGCAGAATGAGTTCAACTTAATCAACCAAACAGAGTCCGAGGACCATAAGAAACAAAATATACCAATAAAATTCAGCAACAAATTTTTCATTAAAAATGCACCTACACAACTTTTTTACTTAAATATTTTTATTTTGTATAAACTCAGAATTTATTCAACATACTTTTGAAATTATGTGCTATTTATACTTTAAGTGCCAAATACTCTAATGTATTTTAATTTTTAATAATGTTATGTTTGACTTGTTTTGTATCATTCAGGCCATGTATGTAGGAATTTTTAAGTTTGAAAAAAAGGTCATCAAATTAGTTGACACACAAGGAAAATAAAATAGAACCAACATTTATTTGTATTTGACACGTGCGTACAGAAAGGTTTGACATCCCTGCTCTATAATATTCATTTTGTCAGTGATGTATGCATCCATTATCCAATCGCTGCCAATGCCGGAAACTTTTAGTCCAAGCAATTCATCCGAACGGTCTCCGCCGCCAATAAAAGTCACCACCACGGCACCACCACCGCTGGTGCAAATTTAAGCGTTACCGCTGTTGTTCGTCACTCCGGAAATGCAATCGTATTCATTAATTTAACCGCTCGCCAGCGACTTACCTGGTCAGCTCACATTAAAAATAAAACTCGAACACTTAAAGATCGTTTTCACCTTCTCCGGCCGTTCCTAACTTCTAAAAATATTAAATTACCTACTTAGTTACTGCTGTATAAACTACTGCTCAGAACCATCTGGTCCTACGGTTTGCAGCTATGCGGCTCAGCCAAAGTATCAAATACAAACCGTACCTATACAAAGGTTCCAATCCAAAGTCCTTCGCGTCATCTCTAAAGCTCCCTTCTATGTTTCAAATAATACCCTTTATTCAGACTTCAATTTACCCACCGTCACTGAACTAGCCAAGCTCCACTATAAATGATTCAATAAAAAGTTAACACATCATTGTAATCCCCTTATCGACCAACTATCATCCGCAAATAGTCCAGGAAATTCCCACTAAAGACTAAAAAGACAATGGTGTCGTGACCTGCTTATATAATATTAAAAAAAAAAATGTATCATTACTACTATGATCTTTGTTACTTATAAGTTATAACTACTATGTACTCATTGTAGTAGGTACCATTATTATTATTATTTAATAATTAATTTAATATAAATTTATATTCATGCTGAAGTACCTCCGATGGGTGGTCTCTTCCGTCTGTTCTGTTCTATTTTTATCACTTAAGCTTATTGTTTATTCCAGAGTTACGTGTTTCTTTTTCAAATAATCTCCCCTCTTCGTCTTCCTCCTTTACAGCCGAGTGCTACGCCATCTTTGATGCTTTAACACTCATTTTTAACTTTGCTCCTAACAAATATCTAATAGCTTCCGACTCCATGTCATGTCTTCAAGCCCTAAACTCAAACCCTCTACGCTCTAAATTATCCCCACTTGTTCTACGTATAAAATCACTTATTTTCAATCTTAATTCTTTAAACTATACTATACATTTCATATGGATTCCCGGTCATACCGGCATTCATGGCAATGAGTTTGTCGACAATCTTGCTAAATCCACATCTAACATTATCCTCCCATCTGTTACTCTACTTCCGCACTCTGACTTTACTCCTTTTATTAAACGTTACACAACCAATCTATGGTCTTCATACTGGAATAATTTACCTGGTAACTTTGCGTCTAGGTATAGAGACATTACTCCTAATATTCTTAACAATATCTGGTTCAGCAAGTTAGACCTACACAGATCACATATTATACAATTTAACAGATTACGTATTGGACATTCTCTATTACCCAATCATTCGTTCAAACTCGGCTTAAACGACTCCCCCTTCTGTACACTGCATCTCGATGAACATATTTGCGATTTATCTCATATATTATTCGATTGCCCTGCTCTGATAACCGAACGTCTAGACTTAATTAATTCTCTAAATTCTTTCAATTGTCCTTTTAATCTCCATTCTATCCTCAATACTAATTGCATCTTTACGATTAAATGTATTATCAAGTTTATTTTGGATGCTGGCTTTATTATATAAAATCTATGTTTAAATTGTAGTAATATTGTAATGTTTTATTTTTTATTTGTACCTTGCTTATATAATTGTTGAGCTATATGAGTTGTAAACTTGAAGCTATAATAAAAAAAAAAAAAGCTTATTGTTCATTAATATTATAACAGTTAGCGTAATATAGAATTTTGTAAAAAAAAAAATTTAACCGCTCGAGAATATTCATGGTCGTTGTATCGCAAAGCAATTTCCGTTAGTGAATAAGCTCATCTCGCGTGCATGACATGAATATTATATATTATGCTATAACCACACTTTAAACAATATTTTTAACTTCAAATAATCTGGGGACTGGAGGTGCTAATTAAAGGACTTGGGGGTGCAAGGTACCCCCGTATATGTGCCAATACAGATACTAGCTGATTACTAATTGTATTTGTGTGTGGACCTTGAGGATTTTAGATACGAGTTTATGACAAGTTAGGTACTAGTGTACTACTATACACAATTAAATTATTGTATAATCCGACATAGATAAACCTATAGGTTTATTATCTTAAAAGAATAATATCGGTGAATTGCTTAATTGTTTGTAAGTGCAATTTCTATATAAATATTGAAAACTGTTGAGAACTATCGAAAAGTAGTTGATTATTTATTGCGTGGAGACTGAAGAGTCTTTCTATTTTCGCATTGCTTTCATCATAACGGATACAATGTTGTAGGACGTCATCAAAACCTGAAATTGAACAGAAATATTAAAGCATCGGTTCAAATAATGTTTTTTATTGATATATTATTAGCCGCCAAGCAATAAATTAATAAGTACGTTAGCAAATAGTTGTAAGTTGACAATTTTTTTCGTCGAAGCTTTCATCGTTATTTGATTGGCATCATTTATCCTCATGGTTAATAACAATAACCTTTTGAATTTCAAATCCATCTTTAACCAATTACATGAAGATATCCCAAGGTTGACAGATTCTCTCTGCATAGGTAATGTAAGTTTGTTATTGTCGATTAAACTCGAAATAATAAATTTCAATTTTAAACATATTGTAATATTTAGATACCAACCTTTAAGTTAATATTATCAAATAAACAACAATACAGATATAATTCTATGCATAAAAAGATAATTGCAGATCCGATTTTAAATGAGTTTACGATTATGTAAGTAAATGTTTCAGTTGAGAAGAAAACCTATTGGCAAAATACACAAATTATTAAAATACCTACCTACCTACCATATTATGTAATAGGTGGTATAGCTACAATGGGCATCGCCCATTTCCGCTAAAAAACCGGTTCCCTGATTTAGGTATAGCCCTTTTCCGCCAAAAACGAAAAAGGTACGATTCCCGTTTTCGCCAAAAGACATTTCCGCAAAAGAAAGTTTGGAAACCAATAGTATTAATTTATAAGCAATATATATGTTGCGGTATATATAAAATAAAATAGTAATGTAAAATGGGTACAACAATATATACAGCGATAATCTTCGATAATTGTTGATAATCGTCGATAACGGAAGGAAGTATACACTGTATCATAGTTTATTTATAATTCGCACACAATAATTATCTGACAAATTTTAAATTCTTATGAAAATGAAATTAGTAGGTACGAGTTTGTCAAAACTGTTTCTTGTAATTATATGATTTTTAAAACCTAACCTATACTTAAGAATGTGATTTTTAAAACCTGGCATATACTTGTATTATAATAATTAATATTTTTTATGACATTTTTAATTATTTAAAAATAACGATAAGTTTTTTCAAAACTCTATTGAGATTTGAGACTATATTTGACCTATACTTGTATTATAATTTGAAATAGTTAAATATAATGTATTATTATTATCTACTTGTACTATAATTTATAATAATAAAAATATTTTTATATGATAAGAATATGTAAGATTTTTACATGGTTCTTAAATTGACGGATACGTCTTTTCACAAAAATATATTCGCTATATATTGTTGTACCTATTTGCAATTTCGCAATTATTTACAAATGTCATTGCTATTACCTACATTTTACATGACTATTTTATTTTATATATACCAAAACATAAATATTGCTTAAAAATTAAGATCATTGGTTTCCAAACTTTTTTTGCGGAAATGTCTTTTGGCGGAAACGGGAATCGAACCTTTTTCGTTTTTGGCGGAAAAGGGCTATGGCGGAAACGGGCTATGGCGGAAACGGCCAATATTATTTTGGCGGAAACGGGTAACTCCCGCTACAATGTACATTTTTAATTATTGGTTAGGTAGTATAGTAAAAGGTTGACTTATGCCATAGGTACACGTTAAGTCTGATACATTGTTGCCTGTTATACAGTATTACCATTATAATGAATGAATTCAACAACATTATGATTATGCACGAAGAGTGAGCAACTTGAATTAAAACAATAGGCTTCATAATAAGAAAATATAATTTTAGTTTCCTGTAAAAATAAATGTAAAAAAATTAATTTTAAATACATTAAAAAACATTAAAATCTGTGAAATGTACAGCACATATAAATCATAGTAGTATTGCAGTAATTAGCCTTAGAGATCAATAATACAAAAATAGATATATTTTCTGACTCACTCAGAGTGCCTTAGTAAATCTGCAATCCAAAACGTTAACTGAACCAATATTAACTTGGCTCTTTCAATTAGTAACCTTCTTTCCAAATCAAACAAAGATATTAGATTTACATGGACCCTAGGTCATTGTAACATAAAGGGAAATGAGAAGGCAGATGAAGCTGCACAGTGAAATCATTCATTTTTACTCACTCGTAGATATTAAAAGAAATGTAAAAATACTGTATAGATCTGTAGAACTCTCACTAGCAAACGACCAAAGAAAATAAATTAAGAGAAATTAAGCACTCTGTTGAACTTTGGACGAAATACACTAATCTTAACAGAAAAAATGACGTAATTCTTAATCGACTCAGAATTGGTTACACGAAACTCACACACGGACATCTTATGACAAAGATAGATCCACCCATATGCCCAACATGTAATACAAACTACTCCATCAAGCATATAACCATCCACTGCCCCAACTTCGATGAAGCCAGAAAAGACTTCAACGTTCCGGACAACTTGTATGAAGCAATTGGTCCATTCTCGAACTTTCAAAATATAATTTCATATTTAAAAATATCAATTTGTATAATAGTATATAATATTTAATGTTTAATTGAACACTGTAAGCTAATAACTTATGTAATTGATGCTTAATTAATAAAGAAACAAAAAATATTGTAATGTTAAGTAACAATATGCTTTATATAAAGCTTAATTCGAAGAATCAAAAAATCATAATAAATCCTGACTTGTATTGTGTAATAATAAAATATTTTATTTCTGAATTAAATATTTAAAAATTACGGATATCATACTCAGTATAGGTCAATAGATCATATGACAAGGTCTAAAAATGAGAATTTCTTGTACTCAGTTTTTTTATGAAGTCAGTCCAGACCCTTAACAGTGCAACATTAATTCAAGAGTGAAATTTTGGATTGCAATTTTTAAATTTTACTTTTCTTGTTTATTGTTATTACAAATTGCCAATTGGTAACTAATATTTAAGTACAAACAATTTAGGAATTGTGGTTTCAACGTGTCGGCCTGATGAGCTTGACTGTCTGAGAAAGTGAAATTGTAAAATGGATAATATCATTATCCTTCTTTTTTTCAGTTGTATAATATTAGAATAAAAAATATACTTACAAAAAAAGTTGTTGTTGATCAAATATAATCGATTTAAAATATTTATAGTCGCCTACAACACCATAATCATGATCTGAAAAATAAAATGTGTGTATAACCTAACCAGCTCGTCATGACACTCATCGTTACGGTTTAAAAAAGAAAAAAATGGTTAAGTGAATTTCGTTCTACTCTACAGTCGGTTACAAGTTGGTCATATTAATGGATGGTGTTAAATTTGAATTCACTTATATAAAATCATGGTATACGAAAAACGAGTCAGAGCAAAGACCGTTTATCAGTCAATTTCATCCAAATTTGAACATAAAATAACTATAAAAAAATTGAGTTCATATATATTTTGCAGTTTTTTTGGTTACAGTATTGACTACCTGAGTGCAACTTCGTTTTAAATCGAAAAAATTCCCGTTTTTCCTTAATTTTTTGCTTGTTTTTCCTGCTGATTTTGACAAACATTGGAAAGTTTTGACTTTTGACTCCTTAAAGTTCTAACTAGATTTTTTTTCTGCCAGAAAAGATGCTGTTGAAGAAAATCGAAGTATTTTTACTGGACCAAAAGGTAATGACAGAAAAATTTTTTTTGAATTTTGACAAATTTATCATATTTGATACACATAATGAATAATGATATTTTCAAATGTAATTTTTTGGCATAAATTAATTTAACATAATATTGTTCTAATATCTAATGCCTAATAGTACAATAAATTACTCAAGTCACAATAATATCATAAACTATACCTCACTACCTACAAACAATTTAGGCTGACAGACCGACCATCTTCGCTCAGAATCCTTTATCGTATACAATGGTTTTATATCATTGAATTTCAATTCAACACATTCATTACAATTTACAGTGACTCTAGACATCTATTGTACAGCAGAACGTTACCCAATTAATTGGCTATTCAGCATTTTATCAAGATATATATTCTTTAAAATGATGACAAATAATTTAGTCTCACCTTTTTGAAGAATTACATTATCCATCATGTTCATAAACGCTAAAGCCAGAACTTCGTATTGAACAACTATCGCCCAACCGATAGACAATAATAATATATCGACCATCGGTATTAAGTATATTGATTGTATTGCCATTATCATTTCGATTACAAAAAATAGACCATAATACTTATTAAAAGTTTTTACATCTACAGGATACCGCCTGTTGATAATGCTATCTATGCGATGATTGTCCTTTTTGTTCGTTATGAAAAAGTTTACCATAATTGGAAATATAATCCATTGAATGGCACAAACAATGGTGATAGTGATATATAAGTTTGTAAGTTTTAATACTCTGTTACGATGTTTGTGTAATATTGTATTGTTATTACAACACTGTTGGCTCTTCAAAAAATTTAAATCTGTAACGTTCAAAAGGTCTAGAATTTTCTTTTTGTTAAACATAAGTATGATCATTTTCCATGTAATAAAACAACTATGTGATGTAGAGAAGATGTTCAAAAATAAATCAATATTATTCATTGGATCTTCCAACTCAAACAAAAATCCACAATTCCCTAGACCAAGCAGACACTGCGTTATCACGATAAGTGCAATCAAAGAAAGTTGGTTAACATTCCAACCGAATATCTTTTTGCTGTTTGGATCAAACATTTGATAAAAACCAAATTGCTTCAACATTTTCAAATTAATGGCCGCAGTATGATCATTAAATGTCGGATTTAGTTCGGTTTTATCGGTGCGATCTGTAAAAAAAAATATAATTATGAAACTGTTAGTTTTGAATAGATAAAGTATTAGCAAAGAATTAAGATGAGATCTACGGGACTAGACATAAGTACATTACACGGATTTGAATATTGGATACTGCAAAGTAACCTCCACTTGGAGGTATTTTCATTCAGTAATTCTTGTCATTGTTTTATCCAAAATTATCCATCAATTAAGCTTATTCTTGAATAGATAGAATACAATTAAAAACTTTGTTAAAAAAAAAATACGTTTAATGCTGCATTTTAAGTATTTTACAAATATTTACAAAATCACGAACATTTGCAAATATAATGTTAAAATTTTTCACATTTTTGATTTTAGTTAATATTTAATAAAATTTTCAATTTTTATAGCTTAAGCTTGAAAATGTAATACAAGTTTTTTATAAGTAGCTTATTCTAATTTCTAAGACAAAAGAGATCACAGTTTTTTACTATAGACATTTTAAGCCCAAAATTGTATAATTTAAACAAAGAATAATCATTTTGTTGTAGTTTGAAAATATTATTTGGAAGGACTTACTCTGAACAATGATATGTTCAAAATATTTTAAGGTACATTGATTTTTCTTTTTTATTGTCCTTAATTGAGTGGAGCCAATTGGGCCATTAGCTATTGCAGGGGTTACTGTTTTTTTTTTTGGCGTTGGTACTGTTATTTGGCAACTTGTTTATATGTGGCAAAGTTTTTATCCATAAGAACCCTAGTGGTCACCCATCCTGGAACTAGTGACAGCGGACGGTGCATACTCTCAATCACGTTGCGTGAACCGCGCCACGCCAAGCTCCACGTACATAGGTTGTTAATATTGTTGGAATGCTACTTTATCGCTACCTGCAATACCTGAGTCCTGGGGGGTCATATTCCTAAATACGCCACGTTTTAAACCAGAAACCTATTTACACCATTCTACGGTTAGGTCTACAGTATACGTTTAGCAACATTTTTAAAAATTGCACTGTGTTTGGGAAATTTAGTATAATGCGTTTAGGCAAGTGATTATAAAACATTGTGTTGTGTTCGAATTTTTTTTTTAATACCCTGGAATACTGTATTTTGTCAATTCAATTTTCCTCTCATTTTGACAAACTTTGGACTGTCCGTGAATTACCCGGATGTGATTAAAAGTGGATAGTTGTGTGTGTGTGTGTGTGTGTGTGATTAAAAATTGAATTGATTTAGATGGTTATAAATCAAGTTAAAATACTATTACAATTAAAACAATTTTTTACCCAACTGTCCCGCCTGATCTACCCTTTATCTACTGATACGAGTTGAAAAAATAAGATATTATAACATCCTCCAAGTTTCAAGAAACCTATTGACATAACTTTTATTGAAAACGGTCTAGAAGTTTTTGAGCCTATTGACTTCAGATGAGCCAACATCCATTTTTAGTTGTGTAACCCGACTTTGTACTTGAAAAAACATAGAACATAGTGCTATTTAGGTGTATCTTGGTTTTGGTGTACCTTGCTTTCTAAGCTAATTTGACAGAGATCGACAATTTACCTTTGGTGGAATGAAAATATCACTATAATTGATCTATAAGTCGAATGTAGTTCAAATTATACGATCTACATTTTCCCAATATCTCCAAGAATGACTTGAAATTTTCACAAAGTCGGCGAAGTAGTTTTTGAGTACCTATGTAGGTAAGATACAAATATACATTCAACTCTCATATTTGTTTTAACACGATATAATCTATTTATTCGAAATCATAAACGCGACAATTAATGCACGCGTATTACCTCGTCTGCCCGAGTAACCGATGGCAATAAATACTAATTTCTCTTACCACTACGATTATATTCTAATCTGTAACTCGTAGTATGCGTGATTCTTATTATACATTAAGGTATAATATTATATATATTTTGTAGCCTGGTGACTGGTGAGGCGCGGTCGTGTACGCTCAATCTGCGGAAACGCTCTGACCGGTACGGCCGGCGTTGCTAGCTGCCGGATGGGTCACCCTAGATTTTCAGCAACAAAATCCTCGCCACACATATAATACATGTTCCAAACCAACCGTTCCCCCTAAAAATAGCTAATGCATATAGTTTTTGGGCATAAGTTCAAAAGAAAAATTTAAAATATATATTTTTTTATATTATGAAAAAATTAATTAATTTATAGCAATATAAATATGATATAGGTAATACAATTTACTTAGGAAAACATTTTTGTCATAAAAATTCGAGTTTGTTGTAGTTGTACTGTTCCATTGTCATATTATATTGGGTTGTTTATATTTATATTTTGGGGCATACGTAAACTGCGTCCAAATGATCTTTTTTTTTGTAAATTGAAATTTTATCTATGTTAAAAAGGTATAGTGTAAACTGCGCCCGACTTATTAACTTATTAAATTTTGACTTATTAAAGTCTCTATGTTTGACGATTGTGTACTTTCTCAAGTATATCACAGAAATTTTATTTTCGTCAAGAAATACCAACACGTTATCAAATATCTATACTGCAGTAATACGACAACTGATGGTTATCACTACTTCCTGCATAGTTCTGCTAGTACCTATATCGTATTCATTTTAATCAGTAAAGTTACGATGGCCGAACAATTCATAACAATAACAATTCGCAGCTCGAAAAATGCTTGAAAATTATTTCTAATTTTAAGTTTCGTAAAATGAATCGGCCTCTAAGTTGGGGTGAGGTTAAGTGGCGATGTACGGTCAAAACTTGCAGAGCATTTTTAAAAACGGTAGGTGATGACGACAGAATCACTGAACATAGTTTTAACCATAACCACGAATCATTAAGCGAAAGAAATATACATAGTAAAAGAAATATATGTACCTAATGCTATAAGGAAGATATTGCCTCCATTCCCTAAATCAATTGAAGAAATTCAATTAATTCTTGACGAACGCGGTGCTCAAACAAAAAGAGATAAATTATTTTTATTAATAAACAACAAGGAGTTGAAATATGTTGTTTTCAGTTGCATTTCTAATTTAAAAGCTCTTGCGTTATCAAAATGGTTGTACATGGGTGGTGCATTTTCATACTGCCCTAAATACTTTACACAAATGTTTACAATACATGGTTTTATCAACGGTTATTATATACCACTCGTTATATGTTTACTCTCCGATAAAAGTACAATATCATATACTAATTGCTTAAAATCTATTTGTGAATATAGTTTCCAAAATACTAATATTATATCACCATAAGTATTTTACCTGTAATTTTACCAGGGCGCAGTTTACGTGTCACCTTTTTACACTTGATGAAAATTAAAAACTCAGGCGCAGCTTACATGTATGATTTTGTGTTTACTTGTATTTTGGGCGCAGTTTACAATCGCCGATATTTTTATCTATTATATACATACCTCTTTTAAAAAACTTTTTGAACGTCGAATACATCTTATGTAAACTTTCCTTATTGGCTTACGCACTACGACTAACTATTGCAGGAAATATATTTAACATGTACTAATGATATATTTTTTTATTTGCATGTCTATACAAATTCATAGTTAAATGTTAAATATTTTTTCAGTGACCCTTATGTAAAATGTATGATCTAAATAAATTACCTACACCAGGAAGTCTAATATTAAAACTAAAAAAAAGGAAAAGAAGCCAATACTAATATAAAATATAGAATGTATGACCTAAATCGAATATTAAGTATACAAAACACTTCCGACATTTAGTTATGAATAACTTAGTAGAAAACCAGAACCTGTAGTTAAACAGGTACATAATTTAAAGAATACCTGCATTATACATTTTAAAACTGTATTGCGTGCGAATTTTGTAATAATTTTTTTACTCAAATACAATTTAATAACAAGGACATAACCAAGAGTGTTGCGATTTGAGATTGAAGAATAAAACATTTTTACTGTTCCACAAGGGCGATGGTTGCAGACACAAAAAAAACTATATATCATTGTAAAACCAATACCTAGGTACGTTAATCGCTCCCCTGAATGTGGTGGTCAAAATTATATCAATAGTGATGCGCAAACGACAACCGACGTACATAACTTATAGTTGTGAATACCATCTGTCTTGTAATATCCACCCCGTCAGCAATGTCTGTATCCAATCGCCGCCGATGTCCGAAACTGCTGCGGATTGGCACCACTTCAGAGATTTTTATTCCAATAAGTAGTGTTATAATAACATAATTTATATAAAATAGGGAAGTTAAAATAACAAATATATTATAATTAAATTAATTTAGCTGGTGATGAGGTGTCATGGATGGCTGAGGACTCCTGAGAGGAGTAGATAACGTAGAGTTTAGTTTATCCAGAACCGTCGAGAGTAACTTAATTAATGGACGAAAAATGTTTGAAATTTCGCTGATAGTTTTGGATAGTTTAACTGATGGGTCTATGGTGGTTGATTGGCTGTGTTGATTAGAACTGCAGTGGATCTCAGAAAACGAGGGCTTGGTTGGCCTAGGAGGTTAAATGGATTTTGTTCTTGCTTTTTTTGTATACGGTGGCGTGATTTTTGAAAACTGCGCAGCCTTTATAAGATGATAACTTACACAACTACACGTATTATTATACGCGTAGCGGGTATGAAGTATTCAAACAATTAATTTAATAATACCTATTTTTTAAAATTTATGTAGGCCAACTTATATTTTTAATTAAAATATCAGTTAAAAGTTAATTAGCTTTTCATATTAATAAATTCTGTGATTTCTAATTTAGTGCAAAAATAAAAATTATATTGGAAGAATATAATATACCGCCTAGTTGAAATGTGAAAAGACATGATTATATTATTAAGGTGCCTGGTTTTTAAAATTCCCAGCAATTTTAAGAAATTTGAAAATATGTTAAATCAAACCGTTCGAAGTACATTAATTACTGTCAGTCTGGTGGGTTTAGTGAAAAATTGATAGGCTTTGCAGGAGCTTTAACTTTATCGTAATGCATAGTGTATATACCTATTTTACCTATTTTTTCTTACAAGGTAATTAAATATTCAAACTATACATATTTCAATTAATAATTTAACAAATATTAACTTGTGCTACAGTGGCCGCGGAATATAGGGTTTTTTGAACCAATTGCTTCATGTCTGAAATTGGGGTTTGGTCGGGCCCAGGTGGGAGAAAATCGTAAGACCTCAGCACAAATATCATGAATTCATGACAAATCCAGTAATTAATAATTATTAATGTCCCCTGCTGCTTATTTTATTTCAATGAAGGGGTGGTGGTAAAAAAATTTAAAATATACAATATAATATAATATGCTTGTGTCAGTTCTCACTGTTACTTTCTGTAAGCATATAAAAATAGATTAACTAATGTCAACACCGAGTTCTTTCAAGTACATATTATATTTGACGGGGTAACTTAATATAAGAAAAATCCACTGCATTATTGCTTACTGTCTTTTACTGGCTGAAGGGGGAGGGGGGGGGGAGTATTTTACATGTAATCCTAGAAATCCGAAAGTAGTATTATGAGCAAAGTCGCCGCACGCGGTGATGATGTACCTGAATTGCATATCTAATGCGCCGCATTAACATAATTCTATAATTGAAATTTGAAATATTGAACAGCATAAAAAAATACTAGTGAAATAATAAAACTTTGTTGGCTACAAATAACATACCATATATTATAATAGTTTGTTTATTTTATAATTTATATCAACTGACGACAGCCAGTCTGTTATTTGAATTCAAACTAACGAGTTCTATTATTTTTTTTTTTATATTTTTATATCATTTAACTGTCAATTGTTTTCATTTTTAGTTCACTCTCTGTTTTTTATTTGTTTTGTTTTTCGAAAATTAATTAAAATTTTAAATGTTTTTATTCTAATTGCCAACGTTTATTTCCAGCGAATAGTTTTTCAAGGATGCATCGTGATAAAACTGGCTATTCTTACGTTTTGATATATTTTATACACATCATTCTTGCTATTATATTCAAGAAAGACAAACAAGACAAACAACATGACTTGGACAAACAACTACATTTTAGTTGAATGTAAAATGGATTAATAATGATACGTGTGAAAAAAAAATGTTTCTTTTTGTTAAACGAATATTAAAACGAGAGTGGTAATAATATACTTAATTATAGGTGAGTTTGTTTATCAATGTTATTTTAGAAATTAATAGAAATATTGTAATTATTAGTTATTTACAAATATTAGCTTTAATATTAGCTATAAGGTATTTTAATTTAAGTTGCATTTTACGTATACATGTATAAGTATCATATTATACTATATATTTTATTTCCAGGTAAAAATGTATACAGTGTTGAATTTAGTAGACATAAATATATCGATATGGACGGGATTATACAACAGTATAAAAGAATTTAAATTTCTCCACAAATAAAATATATATTAATATTTAAAATATGCGGTATAATCCTTTAAAATGTAATGTACTTCAGAAACACCAATAACCATAGAATTCGAGGCGTATAATAGGGAAAAAAGAAAAAAAATATATCAATATTTTATTTGTGGAGTAAATAAAATTTTTTTTTATAAATTTGTATTGTGTACTTATGCCAGATACGGCAATATTCCCGTTTTTTGGACTACGGATAATATTTTACACGTCTTGAATTCAACACTGGCAATGAGGGTAATGGGAAATTGTCGGTCAGAAGAGGGATACTGATATTTTATAAAACCAAAGTTCAATTATAAAACAATTATCAGTAAATTTAGCCTAGAATACACAATAGGTATATAATATATACAAGTTACAATTTTAACCGTACCCCTTATTATAAATATCCGACAGTTCGACCATTCTCCTCAGCGTGGACCTAGGCCTAAAGTTTAAACTTGGGGAAACCACGATAAAAAAAACGCGCCACGTACAATACCTCATGCAACATTAAGAAGTTTGATATAATATCGATTTTCATTTAATGTGCTAAGGTGGTGAGGAAACTTGTGCAATAAATTATTGTAATTTGTAATATAATATTAACATTACATAATATACAAAATGTAAACTAAATTAATGTATTATGTGTCTATATTCTGATTTCTGATACACTGATATTTTTATCCTGACATTTTTTGAAGGCACATGCGCACAGCTGGTACAGGGGGGGTGGCTCCAGCCTCTGTATATACGCCTACGTTTAAAAGGCGATATCAATCAATTAAAACGAATAATATTCATACTCTTATGCCGAGGTACATTTGTGTAAAAGGTATATATTGTTCATCATTTTCTGGATCAATGTCGTTAACAGGAGTTTTGTTAATATAATTTGGACTCATAAAACATGATAAAATATCTTTATAAGTAGACATCATTTTATCGTGTAACTGAGTTATCACTACAGAGGAGCTTTGGAAAAAAGAATTGAATGAGGTGAATTTTGGCAAGACCCAATCTAAAAACAAAAATACAAGTCTTATGAGAGGATCTGTAAGTGTGCTGTATACTGATTCTGCTATTGTTAGGTGTTCATTTAAATGCTTATCTTTAAAATATAAAAGTAATGCATCCCATTATTCTAGCACTCTAGATACAACTAAGTGCAAAGACAACCACCTTGTCTGACTAGGGTGTAAAAGTTTGTGTACTGGAGTAGAACAAAATTCTTGAAACTGCACAAATTGTGCACATCTTTTTGAACGCATTGAAAAAAAATGAATAAACGTTGCGCGCTAAATCTTCACAACGTTTTGGAAGAACCTTACATTCTTCACTTGCACAAAGGTGTAACGAGTGGCATATGCAAGTCCATATGCTTATACCAGGACAACTTTCTCTCATTCTGCTAGCAACAGAAAGAATTATGGGCACTCATCATTGAGTTACACCCATCTGATCCAAAACCAATGACATTATTGAATGGTATATTATTGTCAGCAAATGATTTATACAAACAATCATATACATTTTGGCCTGTAGCACCTTCATGGGCCTTTTGATAATTTTTGGGTTCAAATACATTGGATAGCTAAAAAAAATGGCTTACAAGTTACAATTCTACCGATGTCTCGATTAAAGTACCTAACAACAATGCATGCTTGTTTAATACAACTAATATCAGTAGACTCATCAGTTAAAATACTGAATTTTGTCTGCACCCAACTGTCAATTAAATACTATTTGGTCCATTGTATTAAAAGAAATATTATGCTCAGCTACAAAAGCAGTAAGTTTAATTTCTGCTGATTTTACTTTTTCAAGTAAAGAAATATTTGTTGGTTTAAAAGAATCAGAAATTGGTGAAGTTGTTGAAACACCATTAGACATTAACTTATGTTTTTTGTTAATTAAATGGCAGTTTAGTGAAGAAATATCTGTAGCCAAAACTGTATTACAAATAATACATTTAGCATTTGTGTTTGATTTTTCATCAGGTCTTAACCATTTAGAAAATTTTGGATTCTGTTCCCAGGACTTACCGAATAATGGTTTCCGATGTTTCTTTTGCTTACCATCACCTTGTCTAATTCTTTTGTACTCTGGTGTGAGACTGTGATCGGATCCAGAACAAGTATCATCTTTTTGGTCAATTGTTGATGATTTTACAATACTCTTTCCAGTTGTTGTGACAAATGTATCCATAATTATGAATTTACAGTTAATAAATTACTTTAAATTTAAGAATTTTTAGTTTTATAAATTTAAATTAATAGTCGACACACGAAAACACAAAACGACAACGTCAACAGTCGGCAGTCATCGAGTTTCTAACTTATTTACTATTTAATTTGTTATTGTTATTAATAAAATAATAATTGTTACCGAATACTGGTTCATAGAACCATTGATTTTAAAATATACTATATATTTTAAAATCAATGATAAAACCCATGATAACATTACGACTAACACGGATACAAGACCCTGACTACTATAAGACGCTTATATCTAAAAATAGAAATAGAAATATCAACAATTGTAAATTTTAAGATATGGACCTGGACTCTGACCGTCTTAGGACCTTAGGTTCTTATTTTTAATTTTATATTATATAAAGGCTTTATAATAAAGCAGTGAAAATTGCTAAATCGATAATCATTAATTGTATTTGTATTTCGGCATTTTTTTAGTAAAATTTTGATTTTTAAATGCATATTTGCATCAGATTGAAATGTTCGTAATAAACCGTACGAATGTTCGTTTTATTTTATGTTCGTACACTAGTAAAAATGTTCGTACTAAAACGAACATGTTCGTACGCCTGGCAACACAGCCTGTGTGTATTTTTTTTTTTTTTTGATATTTACAATATATTCCTATAACTTTCTCGGAACAATATTCTTAAAATCCTATCTACACGACGGACAAAAAGGATAGGTTGCAGGTAGCTGGAAACCCGCGGGCTGCCATGAGCCCGTGCCCACGTACATGTCCCCGTGCCCTGCGGCTTGCAGCACAATACGTATTGGCGATGAATAATTATAATTTTTAATTACTCCACTAAAATTCAATATTTTTGAAAATCCTTTCTCATAGAACGGTGAAAATATGAGAAGAACCTCTATTCCAAATTTCAAGTTCGTACGTTGGGTAGTTTTTGAGTTACAGTGATCAGTGACTAAGTGCGGTATTTGGATTTTATATGTATAGATTATGTTAGCTTAATCGCATGTCCCAGAAATCAGATTATGACATATATATATATTTTATATTTTTCTATAAGATAACGACTATACGTCTGATACGGAGTTCCCTTTAATAAAATACTTTGTTTTATTCAATCGAATTATGTTGGTCAGGAATGTCGGCAATCGAGCAGAATCGGCATGTATATCAAACTTTGAGTAAAATTTAAAATATTTTATTAAGTATTTATCATATATGAACATTTTATGTAATTACCCCGAAATATGCAATTATTATGCATTTTGATGCAAATATGCAAATATAGGTATGCAAAAAAAAATTAACAGTAGAATCTACGTCTTACGAAACGTCAAGATATTTAATCAGAATTATTATACGTCAAATGTAGAAGAATATGCATTTGCATTAAAATCCGGGCCCTAGTTATTACTATTATTTTATTAGTTGATATATTTATTATGATTTATGAATATATGTTATTGGTATCTTTTATAAAAATGTCTATTTATCGAAGACTGAGCAGAATACAAGATTAGCCGTGATATACTGATATCCAACGGCATTAATATACAATTAAAAACCAATTAACTATGCAGTATTTTTACCGTAGAAGCCTTACTCACAGCCATCCAAAGGATTCAATATTTCAAAGTACCAACGACAAAAAATATCTAATAATGTTAAACTCGTTAAGCAATCAAATCAGCACATATAAAATACATCGCAACAAGTTATTAGCCACATAATAAATGAGCTTAATGAACATAAAAATAGTATATCTCTTGCATGGATCTTGGGACACGTTGGTATAATAGGTAACAAAGAAGTTTACTTAAAAGCTAAAGAAACTACACGTACCTCTGTTTTCGAATTATGTCCTCACATATCCGATCAAAACTTTCGAAATTTAATTAAATTCAAGCACACGGAGGAATGGCAAAACATCTGGACAAACTGCAACAATAATAAGCTCAGAGAAACAAAACAAGCATGAAACAATATGACCATGGCCCGAACCATACGAGATGACCAGAAGGGAAGAGGTAATTATTGTCATACTACGAATAGGCCACACCCGCATGAAGCAAGGATACCACACGGCCAAAGAAGACCCACCCTCTTGCCCTACGTGCGGAACACTCATAAGTCATAATGGTCAAAAAATCCAACTAATTTACCATTGATATAAAGCTATAAAAACAAATATTTTGTAAGATAATATTACATATCTTACAGACATAATTCTATTACTATGTAAGTAATAGTATTATTAATTGTATCAATGTTGAATACGCATTGATATGAAAATATAATATTATGTCTGTACAGTGTACTTACTTACAAGTATTATTGCTTTTTTTTTAAGACTTAAAATGGAAAATTGTATTGATTTACTACAATCTTAGTAGTTTTACTTTATTTTTTTTAGTTATTAATTTTCATAAGGGGATATATTATCTATCTATACGACTACTACCACAGGAAGGTACAGTAGCACAAGCGCAAATAGTGTTTGGAATTTAGGGGTGCTGCAGCTCAAGTCTATACTGGATACTTTTATGATGTTCTATATTATGTCAAAACTCTTAAAAATTGTTTTAGTGTGGCGGAGTGAGCTAAAGTAATTCTAGGGAGGCTAAGCCCCCTCCGCTATTTGTACCATGTATAGTAGTTAGTTTCTTACTATAAATACATATTTATAAAAACATGTGAGTTGTGACTATAACTAGTGATTTTTAACTTTTAAGCAACCCATGAATTATAATTTTATATTTTTATATTATGATACTGCCGTAGTCAAGGTGGATATAATAGGTAAGAAACTCTTCTTAAATTGGCCTCAGCCATAGTTGGGATGACTGAATATGGGTCATCATTATTTGTCTATAAAATGAGTTTGACTTTTAAGTTAATTGTTATCCTTGATATATATTCTCAAATGATGGGCTTGCCTAAAAAAATTACTCTAGAGCATACATAATATTTAAATTCAAAAAGTTAATTAAAAATGTAATTGAAACATCATATTCATATATTGATATGTAAACATATAATAATAATAATAATAATAATAATAATGTTAAATAATAAATAAATACAATTAAAATGTTACAAAACTAAAATAATATTCATACTAAGCAACTGAGCTAGTTGCTAGCTGGACTTCCCACTTTTCCATCTAATAAGGCAATTAACTCTTCTGTACTATGTACTGGTAAATTGCATGAATTATTCTTGCATACATATGCAGCAACTCTCCCATTTTCTGCAATCCCTAAGCCTTTTGCTAGTTCTGATAAAGAGTTTTCATCAGCTAGAGCTAATACAAGATTAGGCATATAGCGCTGTCTAATCGCAGATAAAAGTGCTTCTAACTCGGGATTATCCAAATCACCAGTAACGTATACCTAAACAGAACAGTTGTAAGTTAAAAATAATCATAAAATAACTAATGTAAACTTACAGAAGTAATTGAATCACAATGTAGAGTAAGTGCAGAAACTAATGCTGGTAAAGCACTTGAATTGCTAGACAAACGGCCAGCAAATGTCAAAAATAAAGGATCAATCTTAGAATGGTATTCAGACTTTTCAGTCAATATTGATAGTCTTAATAGATTAAATGCCGATATTGAATTGCCAGAAGGTTCAGCTCCATCGTGATCTAAAAGGAAGGTTTTAAATTTAAACATTCATGTTTAATCCATCATAATCTTACCACTTTTAAACCTTAAAATGATACTTGGATCTTTGTCAGATGAAGAATAGTATCCAAATTTATCCTTATCCCAGAACAACTCATCTTGCTGTTCTTGTAGTTCATCAGCCCATTTTAACCATTTAGACTGTAGTGTACATTCATACAAATCTAAAAGACCACGTATGAGAAAAGCATAGTCATTGAGGAAACCAGCAATGGGTTTTTCTCTAAAAAGAAGTTATGAAACAATTAATATTTATAACTCCAAAAAATTCAGTGGAAAATTACATGTTAGCAATATCTCCATCATCATTTACATAACACGATCGTAATAATATACTATTATTGGAATCCCATGCATGTGTTTTAAGAAATTCGGCAGCTTTAATAGCTCTTTGTTTATATTCCTCCACATTTAATGCTGATGCGGCTTTTGCATATGCTGTTATCATTAGTCCTGTAAAATATATGAAATACAATATAATGGACTATAGAGTAAGACTCTCATATTATAAGGTCTAATAGGCAAAAAAAAAATTGTATGATAGTGAAAATTCTTAAATAGAATTAAATTTGGTTTTCAAAAATATTTTGTTTGATGGAAGTTTCACCGTACATATACATTAATAGAATATATTATTATAGTACATTTATTTGTGTTTAAAAACTCCACTGATATATTTATTATATTGAGGATTATTAAATAATTAATAAACTAATATCATCCATAAGACTGTATTATTTGTAAGAAAAAATAACTGTGTGAAGTATTTATTCAGATACGAGCATTAATATTAGCATATTTAAAGGAATGTCTTTAAAACCAGTCACCAGTGTACCACTAAAAATGTGGTTTTCATAAATTTTATATTTTATCTATAATTTTTAGTATATTTTATTGGAATGAATTGTATTTTTTATGTCCTTACTTCAAAGTTATTATGGTAAAACAGTTATTGTTTTATACATTTATAATATTTCTTAGTATAAGTATTATGCAACATATAAAATACCTAACAGGAAACAACCCATATAATAAAATAAAAAAACCTATATTATTTAAATGTTACACAATTTTAAGTGATACCTTGATACTTGATACTGGTTAAAAACTTATATATTAAGTTCTGGAGTGTAAATTGTAAGTATTATACTTTCTAACCTTTTTTTTGCCCAGGTATCTAAAATAATTTTATTGATAAGCAAGGTTAATAAATTATACTAGTTACCGTACTAGATATTATTATACAAGTGTACTACAGAGTTATAATGCATAAAGTTTAGCAATAAAAGTT